CTACAGGTGTATGGACTATTGAAGGTTTGTTTGCATATCATAAAATAAAAAATTTTTAATTTTACAGATAATAATATTATATATTTAAATATAATATAATCCTAGTATTTAGGAGTACTACAGTATTATAGTTTTATATTTTGGTTTTTAAGTATTCAACTTCACATAATTTAGTTTTTGGAATTGAATTGATATAGATAATATTTACATAAACACCGAAGATAGTAAGGAGTTCATATTTAGAGCTATACTTCATGGATCAATAAGTTTTTCGGTAGATAGTGCCAATGATGCACATATTGTTTTGGCAACTAAAAATAAAGAATCTGAACCTATGATAGAGGTATTACTTGGTGGCTGGAAGAATTCAGCATCTGCCATTCGTTACAACAAACAAACACCAGATAAGGTTTAAAATTATATTATACTGTGCTTTTCACTTTTAACTGATGCTCTTGCTTGATTTGATGTTTTTAACTTGAATGGTATAAATTATTAACTGAATTAATTTTWCTGACTGTTTTAATAATAATAATAAGTTTAACACATCTTCAAATTTCGATTCTGATTAACTCTTATTAACTTATTGTGACAATTATGTTTCATATATGATTTTGATTATAGAAGAAATGTAATAAATGTAAAAATGATTRATGTGTTTAAAGGTGCACGTTGACACTCCTCAACTTCTGAGTAAAGACGCTCCAAAGAAATTTGTCATTTTTTGGAGAGATGGTGTTTATGAAGTGTTTAGTGAAAAAACTAAATTATTTGAATGGAAAGATTCAAGCCCATTTCTCATTTCTCATTATGGAGTTCGTACTTGTTGGGGGGCTGTTGGTAATTGGCACATTCATGGTGCAGCAGATGATCAATTTAAAAGCAAAATAGTTGCTACCCCAAAACCAAAACCTGTAAAAGGAAAAGGTTAGGAATGCCCCTGTGTATATTTTTATTGTGATTAGTACATTTTTAATTAWATTTRTAATATATGACCTTATGTAATGTGTATGATATGTTTTCAARCATAAGTTCAATCAAATTTAATTTTAAACATTAAACTTAATTGTTTTAGCTCCACCTGCAGCTTCACCTGGTTGGAATCTTGATGGACCGTCCTCTGGTCCAGTTCAATGGGTTCATGCTAGTAACGGGCAGATACCACCAAATGCTTTACCTGGTGGTTTTGATGCTACCAATGAACAGCTATATGTAGCCAGAGCAGAACATAATGGTGCTTTGATTCCTGGTAAACTTGTTCCTTCACATGGTGTTGTCTATATACCTTGGGGTGGTGTCGAGAATCCCAAAGAAAACTATGAAGTAAGAAGATATAACTTTTTTTATCAATTTAAAAAAATATATATTTTCTAACACTTGATTTGATTTAGGTTCTTTGTAACTGTAATGGTACTTGGGTGAAAGCTAACAATGGAGAAGTCCCTGTAGGAGCATTATCTTCAGGTCATACTGAAGATGGTGAACCATTGTTTGTTGGACGTGGTGATTATAATGGCTCATTAACTGTTGGAAAGGTATTTTAAAATATTATAGACTTAGATCACATTTAGTTGACTGATAACCTATGTCTATGAGATATTATTTTAAGGAACAGGGTTCGGATATTATTGCAGTTTAAAGTATATTTAATTGATTACACAGTTTCCAATATTTCATTATATAGGACATAGGTATA